GATTATATTTTGTGTTTTATACGACTTCAACCAATTTAGTAAAAAGACATATTTAGAATGTAAGTCGAATTTCAATGTAATGTTGCATATCTCTAGTAAGTAGTTATAGAAGATGTTTATGAAAACATTAATTTATTATAGATAATATTTTATTAGGATTCATAAGCTTGCAGTTACAAGAAACAAATTACTATTTATAGTCTGAAAATTCATATCCAAATTTCGATATATTACCATTTTTTATATACTAAAGCACTTGCAATCTATGGATCAGCATGAACTTCAAAAGTATTTTTAAATGTGCTACATTTTGCAAAATTATTTTAAGTTTTTTGAAGAATGTTATTAATTTTTGAGAAGTGCTGATTATTTACGTTTGCCAATGTTTATTTTATTCTACAATTACTTGTTGTGCATTGTAGATAAACGGTGTTTAAATAAAATCATATCTTTGTGTAGGATGAAAAATAATAGTGGTCTTTAGGGAATAGTGTACTATATAATAATAGCAGATACATGTTTTTTAAAAACTTTTTGATTTGATGTAAAAGTGTGGATGCTATTTAAAAACAATGTTTGTTGATTCACGTTGATAAATTGGACTATCTATTACAGCATAGATAAATTATTTTTAATACAAAAGTAATAAAGCATCCGCATGAAATCAAGTTTAATTAGGGCAATATTTTAAATAAATTAAATTAGCCTAAATGTAGTGCTGTCTATAATAAACTGGTCTTAATTATCTTGTGTAAAATTATCCTAATGCTGTATGATTATAACTTTAGGCTAGGCAATCGTCAATTATATTATTGTGCCTAGGTTATAATTAAATACGGTAAGAGAAGATATTTATCTAATTAGTGGATTTGTAAATAATGTTGACGTGTATCATGCAGTTTTTATGAAAGTTGAATTGATAATGAAAAATATTTTTTTCATTTTATCATAAATGTTCAAATTATATTTTTTTAACAAAACTGTTCAACAAATTATTTATTAATTATATCTAAGCTGCCCTTTGATGATATTGTGATATATTTTACAAAACACGTTATTGTTTATTGATAGTGGTTTATTATAATTAACATGTTTATTTAAATTATTTTCAGAGCTTTATTGGCTCCATTTTGCTATATATAACACACAAATGTCAACATTTTACATGTAACAACATATACACATGCTATTAAACATTTATAATATACACATTACCCAACACTACACACATGTTTTATTCCTCTTTTACAACGCTAATATTTCAATGCATACCTATCTACAATAATATATACTACAAATGATGAACACATTGTCAATGAAGAACATACAGTATAAATTATTTCAAATGATTTGTTACATGCTCTCAGAAAAAATCAACTTGATTCTAAAATTCAAAGGTTCTACTTGCGAGTAAACTATTTACAATATTAGCGTAACTTGTCAATTGTTCGACTGATCAAATAGAACGCTTCAAACCTATGTTGCTAAATTTTCTTTCTTTGAACTTTTAGTTTCAATCTCGTTATGTATATAGTTTTTGCATTAGCTAGTATTATTAAAAATAATAAACTCAAAATGCTGATATGAATGAACCGTTGGCGGCATTGATATTATATCTTAGAAAATTAGAATAGGTGAATTTAATTATATAACTGTATAGACAAATAGCTATAAGTTTATGAAAATCACTAAAAATGTGATTTAATTAAATTATTAATACGTACTGTTGAAAATATTATATGCATATTTCTAAAGTAAGTTTTATGATTTAGTGCTTTCTTGATACGCTACCGCTACCATTAATTTATTTAATCAAAGAATGAGAGTAATATTTATATAAATAAATATTTATTTGAATTGTGTACAAATGCCAAAATCTGAAATCTAAAAAGTATTATAATATACTGAATAATATCTGTTAAATTATTAAGATATCCTAAAAAGTCAATTTATTAAAAATAATTAAACTATCATAGTTAGCAATGTATGCATATCTGTCAATACATATGAAATAAAATAGTTGTATACAACTGTAGAAAGCGAATTTCATATTGAATAAACATGAATATATATATATATATATATATATATATATATATATATATTAGGGTAGTCCTTATTAATTAATATGGACATTTTCGAATTTACTTGCTCCCCAGGGCTCAAATGGTTCCAAATTGATAAAAAACAATTTTCTGAAAGTTTTAGCTCTTAATATTAACTTTTAGATAGTGCGCAATTCAATCAAAGTTTTGTATGAAAATAGCATGGAAAAATTTTCAAAAATTTTAAAAATTCTTGAGCAGAGCTTGATTTTCAAAGAAGGTGAGAGAATTTGTCTTTATATACTATTTTTACTTAATCCCTTATTGGATTATTAAAGAATTAGGGACTTAATCCCTGCATTATTAAAGAATACCTCTGTTTAAAACAAAAAATTATATTCTGCAGGTTTACATACTTGATTTGGTTTCCGACATTTTGAAGCGCTGTTTCCGAATAAGCTAGTGGACCAAAACGTACGTTTACACAATAGACTGAACATTAGGGAAATAGTTCAAATATAACATTCCAAACCGGAGCAAAAATGCAACAATTGAATTATATTCACTTCAATTATAATATAAACAAATTATAACTTGATGCACTTTTTATTAGGATTGCCTCCGAGTGTTTTTACTTCGATGTGATTCAAATATTTTTAATTTGTACTTGTTACTTCTTTTTTGTTGGCGGCACTTATATATATTAGGGTAGTCCTTATTAATTAATATGGACATTTTCGAATTACTTGCTCCCCAGGGCTCAAATGGTTCCAATTGATAAAAAACAATTTTCTGAAAGTTTTAGCTCTTAATATTAACTTTTAGATAGTGCGCAATTCAATCAAAGTTTTGTATGAAAATAGCATGGAAAAAATTTCAAAAATTTTAAAAATTCTTGAGCAGAGCTTGATTTTCAAAGAAGGTGAGAGAATTTGTCTTTATATACTATTTTTACTTAATCCCTTATTGGATTATTAAAGAATTAGGGACTTAATCCCTGCATTATTAAAGAATACCTCTGTTTAAAACAAAAAAATTATATTCTGCAGGGTATACATACTTGATTTGGTTTCCGACATTTTGATTGTTGAAGCGCTGTTTCCGAATAAGCTAGTGGACCAAAACGTACGTTTACACAATAGACTGAACATTAGGGAAATAGTTCAAATATAACATTCCAAACCGGAGCAAAAAAATGCAACAATTGAATTATATTCACTTCAATTATAAATATAAACAAATTATAACTTGATGCACTTTTTATTAGGATTGCCTCCGAGTGTTTTTACTTCGATGTGATTCAAATATTTTTAATTTGTACTTGTTACTTCTTTTTTGTTGGCGGCACTGTCAACTGACGTTTCCGATTTTACTTTTCACTGCAGGCGGAAAACTTAATAATAAACACAATAATGTTTATTATTATTATTCGTATTTGCCTTGTGCAACAAACATCACTTTTAAGTGATTTTCTCATGTGATATAGTGTCATAAATGTAATAAATTAATGGTTATAGGTGCTATATATTGTGAAGACAGTGGTTACTAAAGTTAGTTGACGTTTTTCAGTTATTTTAGAATTATTGAATCTACTTAGATGGCCAGCTGAAAATTAGTAAGTGCGTTAGTTATATTTTATTTTATGGTGATACTACAAATCAATTTGTTCCATTTATCATTTGTTTATTTATTATTATTTGTTTTTTGTCTGCGGGTTCAATAAACTATAGATTCTAAATCAGTATTTTCTTTGTTGTTACTATAATAATTAGGTTTTTACACAACCAAATACATTTTTGATTTCACATGACACTAAGTGAATTATAAATATATAATTAATTATATATAATAATAATTATTTATAATTAGAAGTTGTGATATCCTTAAGAAGAACTTTAAGCAACTAGAAAATGCTAACTGTTCGAACAATAAGGCAGTTAAAAGTAACATTAATAACTTATTTAGTGTAACAATTAAATTATGAGTTTATAGTTGAATAATCTTTTGCAATTTTGATATTTGATTCAGTTTCTTTCTAATCTAATTCATTTATCTAATCACAAATGCAGTGTTCTTCCAAATTTATATATTTTATTTATATAGATGAGTAATACCAGTTTGTTTAAAATATAATTATAAATTAATAAACAATTTTTCTTAAATAAAAATATATTAAAAACATTAACCATATTAAAAAATTTCTGGGACATAACATTATATTTCACATATATCTCTCATGTTCATCATAATATCAGTAATGGCACTGAATCAACTACTACTAAAGCCGTTCTGTATCTTGGAATATTTGTGAAGGATAGTTTTTCAGATTAATTTCTGATATATCAGGTAGTAGCAAATGTTCTGTTATTTTCACTAAACGGCCACGACAAATGCAATCCAGGAACCATCCCATATCCACTATAGGTTTAGTGCAATGTTTATAGGTTTCTAGAAATCAAGTAATAATTAATTAGTTAATGATTTTAAACATTTAATTATTACAAATCTATGTAAATATGATGTAGAATACCTTCAATTTCTTCTTTAGTATGCTCTCCATCATCCATTACAACATTTGCGCACTAATATGACTGTTTTGAATCATAACTCCAGTATTTCTCAATAACAATTTGAACTCGTCTACACTTGTGCTATGAAAAGGTCCAATCACAAAAACTTTAAATTTATGAACAATGATTTTGGTAATGAAATTCGATTCTTTTTGGTCCAGGTTCTAATGAAATATCCAATACTTCGTACTTGTATTCTGGAAGAAGTTCTTTTTTGCTAAACTATCGCTTATCCAGTTCTTATTTAGAACCCATATTCCAGATACCATAGCATTTATGAATTTTAGTGACCTTAAAATAAAAATATGTATATATAGATTCGCAGATCTACCTAAAATAAGTAATCAAATAATTACCTTTCAGCACAAATTTTCTTTATTCACTCTTACAATAAGGGCGTGACTGAGTCCTCATATTGCATGACAAATTTTAGATTGAATCGATCAGCAAAATTTTTCACTAAGATTATATCATCTTGCAACAAGCAACTACAAGCTAAGCAAATTGGTTTGGTCTCCATGGAACTTGGCACAAAGTCTATTTCTGGTTCTAACCTTGTCTCAGATATTTCAGTATTTTCAACTATTTCTACATTTTTCTCCCTAACATCAAATGTATGCTGCATTAAAGCTCGATTTTGATGTTGTTCTAAAGAAGATGAAATTTCCATCTCAACTGGTTCAGTATTAGTTTTACTCAATGATGATATAAATGGTTCACTGTTTTCTTTTGGATAGTCCACTATAGTGCTAATGGTTTCGTTCAATGTATCTTTTGGAGATTTGAACATAATTTGAGGGGATTTGTTTTGTTTGATGTCTTGGTAAATTAATGACCTTCTTGATTTTGAATAAGGCCCTTGTTTTACTAATGAAGATCTGTGAAAGAAACTTATTTAATTTAAAAAAAAAAAAAATAGCATTATTGATTTTCCTGGACATGCATTTCAAATATATAAATACCTGAAAAGTGATTGCGGTATCTGTGATCCCTCATTTCTGTTTCACTTCTGCACATATTCCTTTGTAATTCGCTCAGAATATCGGTTTGGTTCTGAGTGTCCAATTCTTTCTGCATATAATTGCATTCTATAGCACTTACTATTTTATCAAGATCAGCGGTTTTATAAAGAGTATTTATGGAGATTTCTAAAGACCTTCTTTCTGCACTATTGTTAGATTTACTATTAATTTTAGGAGTCGATGAACACAAAATAGCAGGCTTTTGTATGTGTTTTACTTAAAATCTGCTTCATAGGACTTCTATTAGAACTATACTCCTTGTTAAGAGTATTAGGCTTAACTTTAGACTGTGGATTTCTTTTCTTGTTTCTAGATCTTCGTCTTGACCTTCTTTAGAACCAGTATTTAATTCAGCATCAATATTGGCAAATACTGTCGATAGTATATCATCATAATCCATTGGCTCACTGTCTTCTTCAAGTGGATTGTTATGTTTATTTCCTTCATTGATGAACTTCCACTAGAAATCAATTGTTGCACTTTACGTTTTTTTATGATATTGTGTCATCATTCTCTGAATCCTGCATAGAAATAAACTTAACCGTCATATTTTCATCCATTACCATTTCGTCATCGGACATGTCAGGTAGTTGTACTGATTTAACAGGCCGTAAACATGATTGTATATCAGAATCAGAAGAAAAGGATGTGTTCCTCCACTTGCTGGAATATTGATTTCCCTTTCATCAATTTCTTTTTCTTCACGTTTTCTTTTAGATGACTTAGAAGTGTCTCCTTGATTTTTCATTGTAGTTTCTTCAAATTCATCATCATGGCATGAATATTTTCTTTCAAAATTCCCATGACATTTTCAATTTGATCACTTTCTAATAATATTTCAGGTTTGCTTGTTTCAGCTACAAGGGTGTCGTCTGGTAAATCATAACTTGGTGATAATGATTTCTCTTTACTTTTCTGATTAAATCTTTTATGTATGTCATTTGTTACTTCAAGAATATCTTCTGTGTCTTCTGCATTCTCGCTTAGTGATGAATTACATTTCTTTGTGTATGTATTGGACATTAAGTCATTGCCTATATATCTATTTTATTATGTTCTTGAGATTCATTTCTAATATCTTTATATACATTAATTTCCTTAACTAAACCTGTCTTGTGTAAATTATTTTCTGTGGCATTTTATTACAAGATGATGCATATTAAAATTAAGTTGAATTTCTTCTGTTTGTGTTTGAACATTTGCTGTTGTTTTAAAATTGTTTCTTTATTGTTCTTGATAAGTGTACATTGCATACCTACATCTTTATGTACTATCTTTGGTGCATCCAACGAACCCTTAAGAAAAAATAAAACTGGTTCTGGATTTGAAATTAGACTTCTTCTAAAACTCCTTGGTAATAGATTAAGTGGTTTAACAAACCTGCAAACAATATTTTCCTTACTATTTAATAGAGCAGTTTTTTTCAATTCCCAATTTATTGGTCTTCTATTGCATTGATTGAAAATTAATGTCAAAGCATCTTCAGTATTCACAGTAATGTTATCATTAATATTGTAAATCTTCTGTATTTGCTTCTAAAGAAAATGTTTTCCGCTCTTACTAATGCTACCTTTTTTTGTATCTGATTAATTACTGTGTAGTTCTTGATACTTTAAATTTAAATGTAGATGTTTCAGCACTTGAAAAAAGATTGCCACTTAAAACCTCGTTATCTTTAGATTGGTCAACATTTGTACTTATTTTTGAAATAACACTGTTTTTAACAGATGTTTTTACCTGCAGATTGTCGAGAGAGTTGTCTTTTGTGCTACTCACATTTTCTTCAACAATATTGGTCCTTGAATTATCAATATTGATTTCATTGCTATATTTTCTGTTACTTAATTTCAAATTATCATCATTTTGTTTGATAATAGGACCTTTATCAACATTTAATTCATCAACTTCCATGTCAACTGATTTTTCATGATTACATTTGAATCAGATACTATTTTTTCATTTGTCTGTTTTATTTTATTCTGGTTAAACTACGTCTTGTCACACCTCTTTTATTAGGTACATCATTGTGTTTGTTCTCGAAACAATCTTTTAATTCAACAGCACATTCCATATCTATTTACTCAAATTTCCATCTTCATTTTTGGATTCCTTTGACAATCCACCGGTTTTTTTAGCATTACCTTTGCTTTTGGCCCTTGATACTGTTTAGCATCAGTAAACGTTGGTACAGCAGCCTTATCAGGGATTTCATCTTCCATAAAATTTGAAGGCGTTGATATTGATGGATCAGCTTCAAGAAAATCAGTTCCATGATAATTCAACCAGAGGTAACTTTGTCTGTGTTTAATTTTATTTCTTGGCAGTCTAAGAGGTGATACATCTCTTTTTGGAGGAGGAACATTAGGTATTTGACTTATAGAAATAAAATCATCTATGAAATCTTGAGAGTTTTGGTCATAATTTATATACTGTTTTATTAATATCAGACTGATCATCATCTACAACTATTTGGCAACTTTTAATTTTTCATTCATATATTTTCAATGTCTTGGTTGCTAACTACCAAATTCGATTCGGTACCAGGTTCATTTTCTGTTTCTAATAATAAAAGAAGAAACAATAAAATAAAAAAAAATAGAATAAATGATTATTTGATAAAAATTATGTTACCTCTGGCATGTCACTTTTTCATTGGAATTACTTTTGTAAGCGAGTAGAATTGAAATTAAACCTGAAATAGCTTCATTTTTACTGAACATCCTTTTACTCAAATTCTTTTGCATTGGGGCATCTAACAATTCGCCTTTTCAGTAGTGTACTTACACAACTCTCACAAAATATATGTTCACAGCGACTGATCAGCAGACTTGTTGATATTTGTTACTAAAATGTTAAATATATGCTGATTATTATTATTCATTATTTTAATTGTATTTTTATTGATGTGAAAGTTTACCAAACTAGACATTCTGCTGATTTTTGTAAGTCTTCAAATATTTTTAATTCATCTTCATCCATTTTTATTTGTTATAAAAAAAAATTAATATATATTAAGAAAAAAATTTAATATATATTAAAAAGCAATATCAATTAAAAATTACATGGTTTCGCTAAGATTTTACTGGCAGTTTATTCTTAGACAATGTGTAAAATTCATTTTTTTGTTATCAAACGTATTTGTAAGTATTTTGGTTGTCAAACAAATCCTTTCATAACCTTCAAATTTGGCGGGAACTTTTCTTAACCAACAAAACAATACGAAAACTTTTGAATTTAAAAAATCTTTTTCAAATTATTATCACAAAATAGAACTCAAACGTATTAACAAACAAGTGGTACATGGCATCGTGCCTTAAGGCTTTGCTGGAACTTCTCGTACCAAAAGTTTTTTTTTTTAAAAAAGTTAAAATTTTTTTTTAATCTTTTAAATTTTGAAAAAATGACTATTTTCGATTTTTTACACTTATTCATGTAAATAGATTTTTTTTTAAATAAAACTAACATTTATATAATATATATGTATTATTAAAATTTTAATAATTTAGTTAATCAATCCCATTTTTTTGATATATCTATATATTCCCCATCTGGGCTTTCATAATTTTAATTGGGGGTGTTATTGTGGGTCCTGTGGCAGTAAACGGTAATAACTCTTGATCGATCTGAACAGCTTCTAAGTACAATTCTTCACTTTCCTTGCGTAATTCATCCAGGGCTTTTCGTTGTGATGCTAATATTCTATCGAGAACATTAGGTATTTGACTTATAGAAATAAAATCATCTATGAAATCTTGAGAGTTTTGGTCATAATTTATATTACTACTGTTTTATCATCATCTACAACTATTTGGCAACTTTTAAATTTTTTCATTCATATATTTTTCAATGTCTTGGTTGCTAACTACCAAATTCGATTCGGTACCAGGTTCATTTTCTGTTTCTAGTAATAAAAGAAGAAACAATCAAATTTAAAAAAAACAGAATAAATGATTATTTGATAAAAATTATATTACCTCTAGCATGTTCACTATTTTCATTGGAATTACTTTTGTAAGCGAGTAGAATTGAAATTAAACCTGAAATAGCTTCATTTTTACTGAACATCCTTTTACTCAAATTCTTTTTGCATTTGGGGCATCTAACAATTCGCCTTTTCAGTAGTGTACTTACACAACTCTCACAAAATATATGTTCACAGCGACTGATCAGCAGACTTGTTGATATTTTGTTACTAAAATGTTAAATATATGCTGATTATTATTATTTATTATTTTAATTGTATTTTTATTGATGTGAAAGTTTACCAAACTAGACATTCTGCTGATTTTTGTAAGTCTTCAAATATTTTTAATTCATCTTCATCCATTTTTATTTGTTATTAAAAAAAAATTAATATATATTATGAAAAAAATTAATATATATTAAAAAGCAATATCAATTAAAAATTACATGGTTTCGCTAAGATTTTACTGGCAGTTTATTCCTAAGACAATGTGTAAAATTCATTTTTTGTTATCAAACGTATTTGTAAGTATTTTGGTTGTCAAACAAATCCTTTCATAACCTTCAAATTTGGCGGGAACTTTTCTTAACCAACAAAACAATACGAAAACTTTTGAATTTAAAAAATCTTTTTCAAAATTATTGATCACAAAATAGAACTTAAACGTATTAACAAACAAGTGGTACATGGCATCGTGCCTTAAGGCTTTGCTGGAACTTCCCGTACCAAAAGGTTTTTTTTTTTAAAAAAAAGTTAATTTTTTTTTTTAATCTTTTAAATTTTTGAAAAAAAATCGACTATTTTGGATTTTTTTTACACTTATTCATGTAAATAGATTTTTTTTTTAAATGAAACTAACATTTATATAATATATATGTATTATTAAAATTTTAATAATTTAGTAAATCAATCCCATTTTTTAGATATATCTATATATTCCCCATCTGGGCTTTCATAATTTTTAATTGGGGGTGTTATTGTGGGTCCTGTGGTAGTAAACGGTAATAACTCTTGATCGATCTGAACAGCTTCTAAGTACAATTCTTCACTTTCCTTGCGTAATTCATCCAGGGCTTTTCGTTGTGATGCTAATATTCTATCGATCATTTGGTAATCTGCTAAGTATGTACGAGTTCGAGCTTGGGTCCACTCTTTTTGTAACATAGCTCTTCTTTCTAATTCTTCTTCTGTGTGTTTTACTATAGGTCTCGTTCTTTGTCTAAAAAAAAAAGAATTGATCTCATGCATTTAGTTTGTGGTAATAAAGCAAGTACAAATATTAATTATGTGTGATATTGTAAAATTAAAACTATTTACTTATTTTGATCAATTAACACTAGTGGTACATCCAACTCATCAATTGGTTTCAATTGACGTGCATTTTTTTCAAGTCGCCGTATTTGTTTCTCTAATTTTTTTCTTCTTCTTTCTTCACGTTGTCTTACTATTTGTGGATCCATACGCTTCTTTTTCTTCAGTGGTTCGGCATATAGACATGGTGATGCTTGTATGCTAGCAGGTGAATATATAGAAATGAGTCTCGTTTGAGAAATAGCTAGACTGTAAAATACAATAGAAATTGAAGAAGGTAATTATTTAATGCCAAACATTTTAAAATTACACAGTTGTTTAATGTATCTTAAATTTATGTTTCAAAATCACGGTTGCATATTTGTCTTTCTAAATATTTTGAGTTTGAGTTGTCTCTACACAAATATTATAATTTGCAATCCTAGAAAAGCTATAAGGCGATAAAATCCAATATTAAAATAATCGTGAATATATAAAATAGCTATATGAATATATAATGAACAGTTTTAAAAAAATGAGTATGATAGTGATAAATAAAAATTTTGTTATAAATATGCTTACTTTCGAAAGGAACTTAAAACAGAGGCAAACATTATTCTTAATTTAATTATTTTCGGTTTATTTATTCATAAATATTATATTTTTAACTATGATAATTATTTTTAGATGTAATATATGTAATATAACCAAAAAATTAAGAAACGTCAAAATATATTATTGCCTGATGCAAAAATTTTAGAATCATTTAGTCGGGGCTCAAGTCACAAAAATGTTTCATTCATTAGTATTGGCAGGTTTATGAACTAATAAGTTTGATTTTTTTTTAATTACAATATTTATTACAACTGCTAAATGAAATAATTATGAACAATGACAGCAATATAAATAAAATAGAGTACAAAATAAAAGATAGTATTTTCATTAAAATGATATGTGTTATGATGATTTAATATAAAATAAAAGCAAATAATAACAATAATACAACTAATAAATAAAATAAATCAAATTTGTGGATAATAAAAATAATATAGAGAAATAATAAAGTTTAATAAAAATAATAAGTGATAGATAATATTTTAAATAATAAAATATTTATATTTTAAATGCAAAATATTAAATGTAAACTAGTTGTAAATTATATTTTGCCTGAATGCTAGTTTCATAGTTCATGAATTCCCGATATGGGTAAATAATACACTTCAATCAATTTGATTTTGCTATTTAAATTTTTTACTCACAAAATAAAAAAGCGCGTCCCTACATTATATTATATTACAATTAATTACAACCCCTGCACTTATTGAACTGCGAGGACAAAAAGTCAAAATATCAAGTCATTATTACTTTTTAGTTTAATAAATTAGTAGTATTAACTTCCCGTATGGTAATAGACAGAAATCGAAAATGAAAATTTTTGCATATCTTCACGTCTTGAAGGTTTCTGAACATTTTGGCATACCTCAGAAAAAATGGATGTGTGTATGTGTGGAGACAATTTTTCGTCGATTTTGGACGTACGGATTATCTGATGATTTGAATGGTTCAAAAAACATTCGATTCCTAGTGATGAGCAGACGTGCTGATTAGTTTTTGACAAAGACAGGTTCAGCGGCTTTGGAGATATGATGAAAAAATGCTGAAATGTCCGTTTTCAAGATAGCGGATCAACCGATTTAAATGATTCAATAAACGTTTGATAGGTAATGATGGGGAGTGATTTGATTTTGGCAGAGGCAGGTTCAACCGATTCGGAGATATAGACCTAAATGTGCAAAAAATTGCAGTTTATGAGAGTAATATGCATCCGATTTGAATGATTTAAAAAACTGTTTGCTTGTGTTGACGAAACGATTGCTTTTGGGGAAAGAATTTTTTTATATCTTTTTTTTTAATTTTCAAAAAAAAAAAATTGTTAATGTCTAAAAATAATTCGAATTTTAAATTTAATTGTGATAAATATTATGCAATGTTCTTCAATTTAAAACCGATTGATTAAGTTTTATTTATTTACTTTTTATAAAATAAGAATAATGAAAGTTGCATTATTTATAATAATCTATTTGAAAATATTTAATATTCCTTGAATATTTCATTAAGCTACGGGTAATTCCAGCAATTCGCTTAGGGCACGATGCCACACACCACTAGGTTAATAAATTAGTATTATTTATGTTTAAATTCATTATTCAGCTTTTCTGTAGGCAGTTTCTTACAAAATAATAATCGCATGAAACTTTTGTGCACCGAAGAAATAATATTGGTAAACTTCGACCTCGACTTACTAGCGCTCCCACTATTGTTTTTGTCTACTAAAATGTCATATACACTTTTTATATTTAGTACTTGTTACTTGTTATTTTGTTATATGGGTCACTCTCAAATAAATTAAGCCTAAAATATTTATTATATTAATATATCATTTTATTTATCATGGCTCTTAGTTAATGATTTATAAATTTAACATTTTTCATAAATTCAAAATGAAACATTACTGACTGCAGATTTCTCAGGAATTACTTTTCATCTAAAATAATTTTTAAGCTTCTCAATCATGAATAGTAATTTTGACTATGATTGGGATAATGTAAACAGGAGGACAGTACTTGAAGGAGTATCTGCCTTGGAAAGGACTTCTGATAGTCTCGCTAGGTCTCATCAAATAGCTATAGAAACTGAAGAAGTTGGAACGACAGTAAGAAATTATAATTAAGAACTCTCTCATGAGATCTCGATACATATGAAATTGAAATTATATCATCAATACGAAAAGAAATTAGCTTTTTATTTGCAAACTGATACAAAATTTTACTAATTTCACATATAAAATATGTCAACGGGCTTTGTCATAACATTATACATATCAATCTTTTATGGTAATTTAATTTTTCAGATAATAACTGAGCTTGGAGAGCAAAGAGAATCACTTCTGCGCAGTAAAAATAGACTTGTTCGTACAGATGAAGAACTTTCAAAAACACAAAGGGCATTAAATTCAATTAAGAAGAATGTTTTAACGAATAAACTTATATTGGTTTTGCTTATTGTCTTGGAAACTGCTATACTTTCTGGTCTTGTTTATTTAAAGTTTCTTAGATAACCAATTAGTTTTAATATCTAATTTGTAAGCATAATATCAATCACAAATTTGCAATTTTATATAATGTGTTTGCGTTATTTTTATACTAATATACCAATAATATAATAATATAAAACTTTGAATATCATCAAAGTAATAGATAATATATTTTTAAAAGATTCATTTAGCAATTATTTTATTGTTTAATATTTTGCCAAAGCTAGAAATATATTTACAATCAATTTTATATATTTTAAAAACAATGTTTTGTAAATTGCATAATTATAGATGTCAAATTTATATAGAATATAATTGTTTTGTATTTAAAAAATGATAATAAATGAATAACTGTGATCATTTTGTTTTATTCAAGCAAGTTAAGCAAAACATCAATGTTAATTAAAATCAGGTCAGTATAATATATAATATTTTACGGCATTATATTATACACTAATATTTCTTACTATCCAATTTAGATAATCATGAATTTTAATTTGGAAGATGAAATAATTCATAATGCTGAGACCCGGATGCCAAAGGTGGAACATGACATGGTCAGCGCTAAGATGTTCTTACAAAAACATAGTTCAGAAACCGGAGACAATGTGTGAGTAAAGATTATACATATAAATGAATCTATAAATTTTAATTTAAAAATGTTACTTATATAGATACGATCATTTATCCGAAGTGCTGAATAAAATAATATCTGAACAACCAGAAAATATAGTAGACTTTTTTGAAGAATATTCGCGCAATGTGCGAGAGCAGCGTTACAATCCTGGTGATATGCTTCAAGATGCTTTCATACCACCTCAACAATATGAAGAAGCTAGAAAACTATTACCTTTCCTTCAGGTCAGTATATACAAAGCATTCAAAGATAAATGTAATTCTCATTTACAAGAATTTTAAATATATGTATTTTTAAATAGCCAGCACCTTTGCCTGGAGAAAATGATGAGCCAGCATTGGATCCGGATAATATGCCTGCAGAAGTTCCGGATCTGATGACTATTGGTTATCACTGGGAGCGTGCAGGCATTGGGTTGCCAAGAACTGAATTATTCTGCATAGAACTATCTATTCGTAAACTAGCAAAAAATCCCGCAATTGCCACAATTAAGTAAGAGTAATTCTAATAAATAGATGATAAAAAAAATTGATAAAAAATCATTTATTTGCTTCTAAAATCATAGATACCTGATATTTTATTTCATAACATTTTTTGCAGTTTTTGGGGTAAGATATTTGGAATACATAAAAATTACTATGTAGCCGAATGTGAATGGCATGAAGAGGAATATGCTAAAAGAATTGAAGTAAGTTAGATGATTTTTTTTTATTGTCATTGTAAGTATAAGAACATCCATTAGTCTCAACATTGTTGTGCTTATGTAATACAGATTCAGGATTGTCTTTCTTCAACCTTACAATAACCTGTCGTTTTCACAACTTTCTACCAGTAGAAAATATTATAATATGAATATATTTTCGTAGGAAATAGAAGCTGAGAAAGCAGCTAGACAAGAGGAAGAGCTTAAAGCTTTAGAAGCCGCTCAAGCTGAAGCTTTGGGTCAAGCGGAACCGACAGAACCAGCTAATCCCGATTTATATCCGCCAAGAGAACCGGAACCAATTCTTGGTGAAGGCGCACCCGTTAAAAAACCACGACCTCCGCTTCCACCTCTTCCGGTTAGCCAATATAAACCACCAGTAGAGATACCAGTGGAACAACCAGGACAAGGAGTCAACGCGAAGGTAATAATAAATGAATATATAAAAAAAATAGTATTAAACAAAATTCTTCTGGGCAAAATGTGAAAATGTTTCGCCAACTAACAACAACCATTTTTAAAATAATCAAACAATGTGTTAAAATAAATTTTTGCTAAAATATAACCAGGTGCTGAATTCCAAATTCAAAATTCTAGTTGAGTACCAAATTCTAGTTTAATAATAATTTATTGTCCGAGATATTTTTGATTCATATCTTTTAAGTGTTAAGTTTTATTATTCCGTTATAAACTTTGTACCTGTTTATATTGTTATCAAATACTTTTGCGGTTCACAATTACATCATATATTGTTAGGTATATTATATTACTACTGATTTGACCCAAGAATGGATTAGATTACCTGAAGTGACGCCGGAGCAGATCAATGTGGCTCGTAAAATTACCCGTTATATGACGGGAGATCTGGATACTGAGGTATAATAGACTTTTTTTTAAAATTATTTGAATATACCTTACACCTAGAAATTTCATGTTATATGAAAATAAGTAACTGACCTAATATTAATTATATGAGTTATTTATTATAAGCAAAATGATACGAGCTGCTGTAAGTCCTAATAATCAGTATGTTTTAAACTACTGGAGTTTATTCAAAATAAATTAATTATTATTATTAATTTATTTATATTATTATTAATATACATATTTGAGAATTTGTCATCAATGAGACCATGAATTTTGTCATCAATCAAAGTTTAAATAAAATCGTTATTTGCTCAGCGGTCTAGCTGATCTTTACTCAGAAATTTTGTCGAAAACGTTGATAAAATGCAAAAAATATTTTGCATTCATCAGCTAATTATAAAGAAACGGCTAAGCCGATCGTCGCGCAAAACTGACAAACTCATTTCAACGCATGTCTTTATTGAATTTAATCAAATACTTCTTAAGCTCGGGCGATTTAGAGAAAAAGACTTGAGAAAAAATATAATTTACCTTAGGGAATTATAGACATTTATTTTTTACTCGACCTAAATTTTGTAAGTCTTGCAACAGAATTCAATAGGCCAATAGGTTTATATTTTAAACTGTGCTGTTGTACAAAACTATACCTTATATTGTTTCATACTGTATGCACGTTTTATACTTTAAGTATAATTTGTAAGCTTGCACCAAATATTAATGTAGTAATAGAAATGATTTTGTTGTTATATACATAATAATTTAAACTGTATCGACTTTTGGGAATATTCACAAGATACTTATTAGATTACATTTATTAAATATAAATCATTTAATGGTTACACACATGTGTTCAATAAAGTCATTCATTATATTCAATCTAAGCATTTCCAGTCAAAGAATTATTATTGGTTCTTTACATATACAAACAATATTTTTGATCATTTTTTATTTATTTTGTTATGATTAGTATTTCTAATATATTAGAAACAATATTGAATTTATAAAAGAAAATATTAAAAGTTTATGAAAGAAATAATTGGAAATACATTGAAATATTTGTAAAGAATCGCTTTTTTCATGATTTTACAATTTATTTTCCTATGACATGTGGTATTCAAGTATTCGGTTTTTGGCCGAATAGTATAATTGGTGCCAAATATTCCAAATAACAAAAAGTAACCGAATAGTGGTTGCAAGTCTAGGCATAAAATTTGAATAAACATGTAGCGCGTTAGTAATATAACAATTACTGATAGTAATTACATTAATACAAACGAGCTTAGACGCCAAAAACCTGCCGAGTAGTTGTTGAATATTCGGCATTCGGTCTTTGGAGCATGCCGAATATTTGGTATTCGGCATTTTGCCGAATATACTATTCGTTGCAAGCCTAATAATTTGTACTTTTTCATATAAAGCTTCACACATATCCTCCGTTTCCGGGTCGCGAAATTGACTATTTGCGCGCGACCATCGCTCGTATATCATCTGGAACACAAGTATCGCCGATCGGATATTACACTTTTGGTGGTGCTGGTGGAGGCGGTGGTGAAGAAGAAGAAGAAGAAGTAGGAGAAGAGGAGGAAGGTACGATATACTGAAATTCACAGTATCTTAATTACGGCAAAATTCTCATTTACTATCTAATTTTAACATTTACAGGTGACCAAACAAGTATCAGTGTCAATCCTCGGTACGAGCCTCCGCCTATGAGGGATCTTTGTGATACGACTATGACATTTTGGAACCATCATGCGCCGAATATTCTGAAACAAGGCCGTACGGTTTGGTGGAATCCAAATATGCCGGAAGCGGTAAGTGTATCTACTTTTTGTGAAGAAATTTGACAATAATTAAGGTGATTATAGGAAGAAATGGCTGGAGAGGACGAAGAAGCTGATGCCAACATCGATCGTGTCGAGAAGGAAGTCGGTCCACCATTGCTTACGCCGTTATCTGAAGATGCTTCACTGGAATCAATGCCTGCGTGGACCGTTCGAAGCAGTTCTCTTTGCATACCAGATACAGCCGTTGCAATAGTTCGCTCGTCTTTGTGGCCTGGTGCATACGCCTTGTCTGCTGGAAAGTAATAATGATAATTTATTATTATTTTCATTAAATTATTTATATTTATAGATAAGTCATTTTTCTAATTTATTTTGTAGAATATGTGCAACTATTTATATTGGTTGGGGTCAAAAGTACAATGCGCATAATCATTCTCCAGAAGGTATGCCCGATATTCAACAGGAATATCCAATTGGACCAGAAATTATGGAAATGACGGATCCAACATTTGCTGAAGAAGAGGTGAATATTTTAATTATCTATAAAATTGAACCAAAATTTATATTAATTATTCAAAGCTTTCTTATCATATCAAGATGACTGAAGCTAAACTTTACCATTAAACTTTTTTAATGAAAAATCGTAGGCATGGAGGATTGCTCACCTGCCTAAACCGGTAGAGCTAAAGGAAATAGCTGGCGAGGCTGGAGAAGGAGGAGCGGAAGAAGCCGAGGAAGAGGAAGATGATGAAGAAGAGGAGGAGGAAGAGGAAGAGGAGGAGGAAGAAGAAGAAGAATAATTATGTCGACATATTCTAATATATATAATAATATATTTTGAATTTCAAGTTTTCAATTGATGCTTTAATGTTTGAAATTAAATATCAGTTGATTTTACTTTAATTGTAGAAACTTTACTACATATGCATACAATCTTCTTAATCAGAAATGAAATTTAGCAACGGCCTATTATTTCAAACTGCTAGATTTTTTTATTTTATAATTACATTTAACTATTTTTCGTAGGCCAATAATATTTTAGGATGTTCGTTACAACCATAAACATTTATATCGTACAAAATTACATCAAAATTTACAAAAAAAAATTGTGGAGACACTTTTTCCAATTTTGGTACCAAAATTCGCAAATCGGATTTTCTGAAAAAGTTAATGTCAGCAAATTGATATCTATAGTAAGTGCATATAGTTTTAATCATATTACTTTTTTTTTACGAAAGAGAATATAATATAACAGTTTTTTTTTATCTAATGCATTAAAATAGTTGATATTAATATCTGGTAACACTATTGCAATTTGACAACTTGAAATGCCACTTTTTGACTTCGGAAGAGCTGTCATGTCACTTAATGTTAAATAATATTGGTCGTTCAAATTTATTTTAAGTCTTTTTCTTGGATTTTAACAATCACAAATCATCTAGGTAGCTTTACAAAATGGTTGTCACTACTGATGTTTATCTTCCAACAGAAGAGGAATTAACAGTACCTGAAGTGAATCTATCTAGCCCTTTTCTTCATGCTGGAGCATTTCACTTTGGAAAACATTGCGAATTCCAAAACAATGTATAAATAATGAAATTTCAATTTAAGTATTAATCACAGTTTCATCTTTCAAAGCTTATTTAATATAATACGTTTTTATTTATATTTTCTTTCAAATCATTATGTAATACTATACACATTTCTCTCAAGAATGGAAAAGTGTATATTTGAATAACACAATTGTATGTATGATTGTAGGAATTTATGTTATGTCGAAATGAATTGGAAGACCCAAGAGCATGCATTCAAGAAGGCAAAGCGGTGACTAATTGTGCTTTAGACTTTTTTCGAAAAATGAAAAAATCTTGTGCTGCAGAATTTCAGCAATATGCTAACTGCTTAGATAAAAGCAGCGGTGACCTTTCATATAAATTGTAAGTTGAAACCATCAATGTTTTTTTTACTAGTTGAGCATATAATAATCAAAAACATTAAAATTCATGCCTAGTGTTCAATTTGTGTTTTTCAAATAACCTTTTTAATTTATGAAATATCTAAATATGGTATAAAGTATAAGTATGATTTTTTTCAGATATTTGAGTATAAATTTGTCTATAAAAAAAATTATATTTAAACATCTGAATCTGAAGTATATAATAAATGCTATATTTTATAGCATTGTTATAGTATTAATTTTAATTTATTTACAGTTGCCGTAAAACACAAAGTGCATTAGATAAATGTGTTTTCGATAACTATGGTATTGAAAGACCTCAATATGATTATTTTGCCAAACCTAAAATTCACGATTCAAAACGCCCAAAACCAGAGCCAGAACCTATGCAGGTCTTTCCAGATGCTACTCCAGAATTACCTAAGGATGCTGAGAAACCACCAGCAAAATATGGTTCACGTTTCTTCTTCTTGGAGTAAATGTATAGAGATTGTATTGATTTTTAGAATAAATGAATGTTAGAATTTATTTTGAGGTTTCGTATAAATATCTGCTATTGAGTAATATGTATACAAAACTTCTGGTCAGCAAATATTAAACATTTAAATATTAACAAAATATATTTATTAAGCTCATACCTCTACAACTTTATATTTTTAATAAATACAATATTGCTTTAAAATTATTAGATATTTATATAATATCTTGATTTAGAATACTGTCAATTTTATTTATAAAAATACTCTGTGATATTGTGCAAAGTAACTAACTTTATTATACATTTAGCCAACACCTTTGTGTAAAGTTACCAAAAACTATTACTATTAATAGTAATCAGGAACTGGGGCGCAAGCTATTTTAATGAAATCCTGATAGCGAACTTGAGAATTTTTTGTTACATTTGCTTCTCTAAATATATTATCTACTTCCTTTTCGCTTAAACCCTCACCCCAGTATCTTAAAAGATGCCTTAATTGAGTTGCTGGAATAAGACCACTGCCAGTCGGGTCACCGGACTTAAAAGCAGCAATAACTTCAGCCGGCAAGTTCTCGCTTTGTGAATGCTTATGCATTACTTCTAAAAAATCAGCAAAGCTTAATTTTCCTCCACGGGCTGTTAAATATGCTTTAATCTCTTGTATAGTTGGAGCAAGACCCAGAGACCTCATTACGACTGTGAGTTCATCTACAGAATTTATTTGACCAGAGCGTGCAAAAAGGTAGAAACACTCACGAAACTCATCGATGTCTTGTTCACGAAAATAACGGGCCATTATTGCTTAAATTTAATTTATTTGAATATAATTTATAAGTTTATTCTGACATTCTTCTAATGACGTTTGCGTTTTATTTATTGTATTGGCTATATGCGTTCAGAGTATTGACATATGATACTCTTCTTTTATCTATGAATATGATAGTACATTTATTAAATCTTGGCTTATATTGTACATGATTATTTATTTGAAAAAAAAGCAACATAACTAATTTATTAATTTATTTTGGAAAAAAGATTTGGAAACATTTTATGCATTATTGTGTATTTTACTCCCGAGGAACATTTGAAAATGCCGCTTTATTTACTTCTGCTACGAAGTTGCCAGCAGTGCCGGGAAATAGCATAAGGCAACACTCCGTGTATCTTGCGCCCGCGTCACGGGCTTGGCTTTACTCGGCCATTTGCAATCATCAATCAGTTCGGCGGTGTTTTTCGTGACAGTGATTAAAGCGTCATTCAGTTTTTACAAGTTCTTTAGTGTCCTAATTTATTAATAAGTATCAGAATGGTGCCGGTAAGTATTATTTTTGCTTTTGTATTAATGTTCCACTCGTGTGATACGTAATTAAGTGTCGTAATCATGTCTCCCTTACAGAAAACAAAAGTATTTGTTGGAAGCTTGCCGCCAGGCTCCAAGCCTGAAGAATTACGTCGTTTGTTCGAAGCTTACGGTGTTGTAACAGAATGTGATATTATGAATCGTTGTGGCTTTGTACATATGCAGACCGAAGAGATGGCTTTTAGCGCGATTCAAGCGTTGAATAATACTACATTTAATGGGGCCACGATAAGTGTCGAAAGGGGCCGCATCAAGGAACGCGGATCAGGTGGTGGTCGTGGAGGCGGTGGCCGCGGCGGTCGAGGATTTGGAGGACGAGGAGGTGGTATGAATCGTAGTGGTGGAGGACCTGGGGGTAACCGTTAGTCTCATCTCATTAACTATTGCCGTTGTTTTTTGCAATTAATACTGCATGATACTCATACTCATTTTATTTGCTTGTCATCACGACTTAATTCTTTACATACATTTTTTTAGCATCATGTTTATCATAATTCTTAGTGAACGTTCATTCATTGCTTTGTAAAAACTGTCATCAAACCCTCTTTCATTTTCATCTTATACTTTAACATCATTGTATAGTAGTTTTGTTTAGAATGTCATTTTTTCCACAAAAATACTATATGTAAATTTCATTTATTGCTTTGTACTTAATTATGAATACTTTCAGGTATGCGTAATGGTGGTGGCCCCATGGGAGGTGGCATGCGTCGTGGAGGCGGTGGCCCAGGACCCATGCGTGGTGGTGGCCGTGACATGAATCGTGGAGCACCCTATTCTCGTGATGGTGGTCGTGGAGGAGATTTTGGTGGACGAGGTGCTGGACCCATGCGCAATGGTAAGAAAATTGAGATTTAATTTTAAATAACAAAATTTCATTTATAGCAACTTTTACATAAGTTCTATTAATGCAAGAAACTAGGTAATAGTATTACCATAACCAAAGATATAATAAAAAAAATCATGGCACTATTCATATGAATAATGGCAAATTACTTTTTAAATGCTTCAATAAATTTGTTTATATTTATCTTTTACCAAGTTATTAATGAATATGTAATTTTTTTCTAGGTATGGGCGGCGGCGGCATGGGTGGTGGTTATGGTGACCGCGGCGGTTCTATGATGGACGGCGGCATGGGAATGCGTGGTAATGGCGTTGGAGCAGGTGGAATGATGGACCGCAGAGGTGGCGGCATGGGAGGCGGAATGGGCGGCGGTGGCGGTTACCCGGATGGCGGATTTTCTGGTGAGGACAGACGCGGGTTCGCGCTGCCGCAGCTTGGCGGCGGCGGTGCGGGCGGCGCTTACAGAGACTTAGACTTAGGTATGATTTGCATACCTAACAGTTTGTTTTGATCTTTTGACCCAATACTATATTTAATCAGGTGGCGCGCGATTTAATAATGTAATGTTTTCCTTTGCAACATTTCAGATATATGTAGGTATATGTATATCCACATATCTTTTACTCACTGTACAATAGTTCTTGTAAAAACATTAACTAAACTGTATTCCAGTTAAAAGATCAAACATCTCTGTGCCATAACGTTAATTATATTGTATTCAATTTAATCTTTGATAGCTTTTTATGGTCTTTCAAAAAGCTTACTTATGTATATACATATATGCATATATGTACAAAAATGCTAAACAAAATATTTTTGCATGGTAGGTCAAGGTGGTTATGATAACATGTACATGGATGACCGAAGAGGTGGAGCACCACCGATGATGGATGATAGACGAGGCCCTGCAGGTCCAATGCGCCCACCAATGCCCATGCCCCCAATGTTTGACAGGAGGCCGGCTGCTGGTCCTGGAGGCATGGGTGGTGGACCCGGTGATATGTTCAGTAGAAGATCTCCTCCACAAATGTAAGTTCAGCATTTATATATTTATGGATTGCATACAAGATTAAAATGTTTCAATTAAATTAGTCATATTAAATACACATTAAATCCTATTTTTTTTAATTAGGAGAGGCTATGGAGGTGGAAATGATCGGGATAACTATTCACAAGCATTCCCCCCACTAGGAGGACCACGGTAAGTTTTTTTCATCAAATAATTTTTCTTGCCACTGTTCAGCACAGTAGTACGTGTTTATGATAAATTTTATCATAAATTTTATTCTAATTTACTTTTTACTTTCGTTTTTATATGAGAACAGTTACTTATTACATTGCATGCTCATAATAAAAAAAATCTCATTTGCGGTCATAGTATGGAAATTAACTATAATTCAAAATTTAAAAGGGTTATTTAGGTTACATCAGCTTCTTAAGCTGCGATCAGAGAATAATTTCATATCTTGCTGTAGTCATTATGAAAAGTTCTTTAAATAACGTTGTTTGTAGTTATAACCCTTTTAATAACAAAGTATTATAACACAATATATTACATTGTATCATAACTGATAAAAATATTTCGGCTTTTTGTTCCTTATAGCAATCTCGGAGGGCCACAAGGTCGTAGGGACATGATGCCCCGTCGATTCTAAATGCGGATTAATATAATGTTGGACATGAATATTGTCCCCACTTAGGTTACGAGTTACAAATATAGTATAAATCAAATAAGAACAAGTTATTTTGAATGACGTTTTAGAACAAATCACTGTGGAGAATGTTCAAGGCAAATGTCATTCTCATACACACACATCTAACATGAACGTCATGTACTGTACGTTAATGAAATAAGAAGATACTTCGAAAATATTTATTTCGTTCATGTTTAGATTTATAGATTGAATTGTCAAATTTACTAGGTAGGATGCTTTTGCAATACTACAAAGTAAATTGTGTATTCCTTGATCTTGACGATTTCGTTTGACATGTCAATTTTGAGAAATTGGATTCAAAGTTTTAAACCACAAATATTTATTAAGCAAAGTGTGTGTAAATTTTTTTTACGTATTTTGATTTAGAGTACAATTAATTTGATGGCCAAGAGAATGGATTTTGGTGTATTTAGTAGTAATTAGCTTTAATTTTAAGTGCAAACTACTTTGTATTATATAAATAATTATTTTTAATACAATATTTTTAAAATAGAGCGATACCATTATTTTTTGGAATTGTCATTAAAACCCGTTAAGTGTCAATTTTAAACATTGTGCAAAATTCTCATTCCGTTATAAAAACTAGGTTTAGTGCTTCCAAGTTCCAATTAAATTGAATTCAGTATGACCATCTCGATGTTTTCATTTTTATCAGTAACTCCCATAACTGTATGATTGTATTATGCGATTTGCATTGGAATTGAAAATAAAAAACTAACTGATGTATTTTACGTCTTTTAATAAGATTTCCTGTATGGTCAATTAATAGTACAATCTTAAAACGGTAAAATTTATATTTATTCATCAAAATGTTGTATTCGTTTATACTTTGCAGCTAAACAAAATGATTATTGCATTATCTACGTGCAAATTTGTTGTAAAATGCATTATGTATTTTAAAATTTTTAGTCCGTATAGTGGTTACATGTGACAAACAAATGTGTACAAAATCATTAGTGTACTGCTGCTTTTTGTTAAATTTTCGAGTAGTGTCCAGTATTAACATGGACTAAACACACACGCCACAGCATCAGGATATCAGTTGAAGATTGCGTATCTCCTTAAATGAGGAAAATGATCGCATAACACAAACTCGCAATAATAATAGTTGCGAAACGGACGGCAAATACGGCTTTCATCTCGAACGTTTGCGTTGTAATGCAATTTTGTAAGTAAATATGTTTAAACTAGTTAACTTGGTCAAGTTTTATACCATGCCACTATAACTGTCGGAGTGTGGTCATATGGTCATAAAATATCTATGCTACGTGAAAAAAAAAGATCAAAATATTATTGCGTTCAAGTAGAGTTCAATTAATAAAATCTGATATGCGTTAGTATATTCTTTCTGTACATAAAACCCAATTCGATATTAAGCGTAGTTTGTAGATTTATCATATTGTGTGTTAATAAATTTTCTAAATTGTTATAATACTAATGCTGGAGTCTTACATTTTCTGAAATTTAATATTTTGTTACACACGTTTTTCAAGCACACAGTATGTTATACTTACATGTTCTTATACATTCAAGGTGCTATTTTAACATGAAGTTTTGTTCTTGACAGTGTATCCTGTCCTGGTTGAAAGCATTTCTGGTGCCTTTGCCAGTGCAGAATGAAACTTTGACATCTGGTAACTATGAGGTCACCTATGCTTTTTTTTGCAAAAATATAAAACCAAACTGTTTTAAAGGTACTTTTGCATCATGATTGTAATTGTGGATGAATAAAAGAATGTTAATGACATACATAATTACTTTTATTTCAAGCTTACTTTTCAGCCTTAGAGAAAAATTCTGTTTTATCATTTTTAAAACTACGTCAAAATAGTATCACTTTTATCTCATGTTTGTGCAGGGACTAGTAGGGTAGTTAAATTTTGAATTCAACCAATCATTTATTCATTCCACTGAACATTCTATTTATTTAACACTTCAAATCATGTGGACAATTTAACTCAATTCAATTGAATATTTAAATTAGTTATTGCCTGGAATACACTATTAAACTAATAGTGTAGTATAGGCGTATGCTAATTAATGAAAGAGTATTGTGTTCGTACTATACTACTTACTAAGTATGGATTTTCCTAATTGTTGCTCTGAAGTGAACTTTGATGTCATTTTCCAATAGTTTTCATATTTAAAGTTTTTACTGTTCAATATACTCACAAAATGAAATTCAGTAACAAATTGTTTTAATTCACAATTTAGAATATTTAAGGACAACAAATGTAGCTAATTTAAAATAGTTAATAGGATTTATTTTAATGGAGAAGTGTAATATAACAAAGATTGCAGTATTTTGTCAAACATTATTTCAGGTCGCAGCATTGAGAATTTTTTTTAAAACAATTTGTAAATGGCATTTTGCATTAATTCTAAGCCAATATGGATTGAGATTTAGCAATTTTTAAAACTGCCTTGATAAAAGTTCACTTTTAATTCGGACGCTTAGATTTTAAGATCTTCAGTTCAGACCATAGTACAAAATTTCATAAAAATCGTAAAATTAATAAAGGAATGACCTGAGAGATCTTTATCGAATTAAATTTTGCACTTATCTAGTAATTCTAAAGAAACGACTCGGCCGATCGTCTCGCAATATTAATCCAATTTTATGGAGTTTCTTTAATTGGCTTTTGGATTTTTTAAACATGTGCAGCCGTTTTAGAGAAATAGTCGACGATAAAGTCTTATTTTGGCTCACATTACATACTTTGTCCAATTTTGTCGTCAAACTAATCAGAATTACTTATAACGTAAAATTAGCAAATTGAATTTTCTACCTAAAACTAACTCCTTCATAAAGGAAATAAAACATTTTGGTTCATGTTCATATTTTTGTTTCAATATGTATATACAAATTTAATAATATTATAGCTAATAGGTAAATATTTTTTGCAAGTTGATTATAATAGTATATATTGGTTAGTACATATTAACATATTTATTATTGTTAGTGTATATTATTACTATATTTGGTGAGTGCCGTATGGAGCATCGCAAAAATTGCTGATGCATTCACAAAATCATAAAAATAAGCACATAGTTAAATACTAAATAAATATTTGTATAAATAGTTCAATTCAATTACTTATACAATTATAATTACAAACAGTTTTAATCGTACGAATTACCTTTAGCTACTTTCATATAAAATTTATATCTTACTTTTTAACATTTTATTTCTTATTAACAATATTCAAATATTAACATTTTTTTATATTATATATTACATTTTATTTACATATTTATCCTTCTATGTCGCTTACTTATAACTAAACTAACTACAAAAATGAAAAGTTAAATACTGTGTGATTCAAATAATCAATGTAAGGCACTTTGTTTAATATGTTAACCAACATTTTCAAAAAATTAATAAGTTAGTTATTTTTAATATTATTAATTGTTCATAAGTATTAATGCAGCGATTTCCAATCTGTGGGGCGCGCCCCATTAAGAAAAAGGACAAATTTTTATAAAAAAATAAGTGAATAAATGCTGATTTTATAAAATATAAAATCAGTTGAGCATTTATAAAATTATGTTGAATTCTAACTAATTAATTATTATTTATGTATCTAATTTATTACGACTGACTACATATCTACATATTTGTCATACAGTACTTAACTTTTTCATAGGACTAGTGCGGTTGCGGTGGCTTTAATTCTTGTTTTTCCTATACTGCGCGGTTTTTGGCGCCAAATAATATCTATAAAATTATTATTAATTTTAGCATTTATTCTGATGCATCAGACAGAGTGAACTTCACAAATAATGACCAGAAAATTTGCGGGTTTTCCTATCATTATTAAAATTTATCTAGGTTCACGACAAAGCCGTTAAGCGTGAGTTCTTAAGCTAACTAACTAATTTACTTTTGGATATATATATATATATATATATATATATAAACTTTTTTTTTAACGTTCAAACATTTGATATACATGGTCTGTTCAAAAAGTACCCGGAATTACTAATAATTAAATTTCGCGGGTCTGGAGTGTCTGATTGTCAAAAATTTTTTTTATTGTGTTGGTATACATGCCCCTAAAGTATGATGAAATTTTCAGCTATATTCACTGTTTACTTTGTCTGTGGTAGTCGCTAAGGTTCGACGTGTTTTTCTGAGCTCGGCGATTTTTACAATGGAAGAATTGAAAAAGTCAAAGAATTTGTATTAAATTTTGCGTAAAAAATGAAATAAAGTGTTGCAAAGTGCAAAAATTCACCAGATATGGCTCCGTGTGACTTTTTCCTATTCCCAAAGTTGAAGAGACCCATGAAAGGACGGCGGTTTTCCTCGATTGAAGAAAATCGCCGAGAGTGCTCAAGGACATATCAAAAAGTGAATATCAAGGGTGCTTCGAAAATTGGAGAAAACGCTGGCATAAGTGTATTATATCTGGGGGGGACTACTTTGAAGGGGACCACATTAATGTAGACGAATAAATAAATATTTTTTTGAAAAAACGAAAATTACGAAAACTTTTTGAACAGACCTCGTATAAAGCAGCCAATTCGTAAAATTAAAGAAAAGACTTAATATTGACAATTCTTTAAGTCTACGTTTGTATTGGAAAATACGCATTTAGATTTTATAAAAAAAATTATGTTTTAACCTTAAATATTATGTGAAACATGTTTAGTTTTTCCTAGTACGGATTGCTGAATGATGAAACATATCAAGTGTCGAAATGTATAAATAAAGAATTGTCAATATCAATTTATTTTATTGGAAATTTCTTATATATTAAAATAAATATATCTAGCAATATACAACACGAACAAATAATTAATAGTAATACTTAAATTTAATAGTTCATAATAAATTAAAGTCTATATAATTTATGTATTCTTAAAGAATATATATTAATATAAGTTTAACTTTTGTATAATATATTATAAATTATCCAGAAGAGGTCTACCAAAACTTAATTTCCATACAAAAATTGAACAAAACTGTTCACTAAATATATTTGGAAAGAAAAAATAAAATTGGGATGAGTACTAAATTATAAATATTGTGGTAAAAACTATAGAAAACATTTACAATGCCATAAAATCAGTAACAAATCTTTTTATCATCATTTTATATGATAGAAAATTTAACATAATAATTAACCGATTGGTGTAATCATCAATTCAATAACAACTTTTTTATGAACTTATTACAGAAAATGCTAAAAAAAATTAAGTCTGCATACAAAGTTTATATCTGAATTTTGATTTAGATTTGAATTCGCAAATATATTTTGGCTTTTTTTTAATTTTAATTAATTGAATTATTTCAGTATCCTTCATCAGTGGTATCAACCCTGTTATCGATTGGAGTTGTCTTACACCAATTAGTCGAAATAACACCAAGGCTTACCAGAAGTAAAGCGAGAGCGCTGAGACAACTGATTGCTCCACTGGTAACATCCGCTGGAGCAGATCCTGCCACAGGCTGGGTAACCAGGAGCACCAGCAGACCGCAGCAGGCGAACAATGTTAGCACCGTGAGTAGAATGAAACCTGGATAAAAATGTTATTGTAAACTTTAGACTTTATTCTCATATTAGAGGGCAGTTACTGATATTAAAGACGGTTAAGACTTAAAATTATTGATTGCCCATAGATGTTGACTGTTCTGTTCTGTCATTATTAACTTCCCGTAGGGCAAGTTATAGTAATCGCAAAAAATCGAAAATGAAAATTTTTATGTATCTTTACGATTTAAAAGTTTCTGAAAATTTTGGCATACCTTAGAAAAAATGGATGCATGTGTGTGTGTGTGGGCGGATACAAATTTTCGTCGACGATTTCGGGAACAAGGTTCAACCGATTTCAATTATTCAAAAAACAATCGTTTCCTATTAATAAGGAGACGTGCTGATTAATTTTTGGCATAGGCAGGTCTAGCCGTTTTGAAGATACGGGGCAAAAAGTGCCAAAAACGGTATTTCAGTTTTCAAGAGAACGGAGCGTATGAATTTAATGATTCAAAAAAAATTTTACTTGTATTGGCATGATGATAAACTGCTTAAATTTTTGGGAAGGCAGGTCTAGCGGTCTCGGAGATCTAGTAAAAAAAGTAAAAAAAATGCAATTTTGAGGTCAAAAATGATCATTAGACATACGCACATCAAATCATCAGATATTTGATATTGATGATTGATGAATGATATTGCGTCTCATGCAGCTAAAGCAGTGCGATTGCTTTGGAAAAAAGTTTAAAATTTCCAAAAATTTATTTACTTCAAAATAAAAAAAACATTTTTTTTCCAAAAAGTAATTTTTTTTCAAAAATTTAAAATTTCTCGAATATCTAATTTTTTCAAAGTTTAAAACAAATCTTTTTTAAAAAAATTAAATTTTGGTACGGGAAGTTCCAACAATTTGCCTTAAGGCACGATGCCATACTCCTCTAGTTATTCTTAAGTAAATCTACAGCTCTTGGTATAATTTTTAAATATACGGAGGGTCTGTATAATTAGACCTAGTGTTTTTTTTTCTTCTAAGTCTTACCTGTTATATAGTTTCGGTTGGGCAGCCACGCTGAACGACTTGACCGGATACCGAGTACCCCAAGAGCAACGCAAGCGAAACCGTTTATGAGTCCTAACTCCAAGTAGTAACTTCGTCCATGCTATAGAAAAAAACTTGTTTTTATTGTGCACTGGGAATTCCGTATACATTAGTTATTTTACAATTAAAGCTATTATTTTATTTCTTGCGAATAAGACTTTAATTTCCATTTTTTCCCTTTTTTGTATCTATTTCAACTTACCGTATACATCATGTACATGCATAGACCGGAATCCAAAGCGCCAGCTATCAGAAGCATGGCTGCTACAATCGCCACCGTTATCATTCCTGGTCCGGTCATTTTGACGGTTGTCACATCGCTTACTGTGACATCACTGTTGGGCGATGCCAATTGTCTTGGCGGAATTACAGCCAGTGTCCTTTGGTCAATTGTTTGTTGTTTTTGGAGCCTTTGTAACAAGGACATTTCGTAATCGCTGATTGTATTTGTGGTTGCTACAGTTAGACGAGGCGGGGAACGATTGTAATCCAAACTGCGCTGAGCTCGTGGCGGAGATAGGGAAGATCTTCTGGAAAAATAAAGGACTCATAAAGTAATGGAAAACAGGAAATGAAAAATTTAATATTAAGGCAATTTTGAAATCGGATGAAGGAAAAAATGATGTAATTTACAACATATTACAATAATAGTATTGCTTTACTTCAATGAATCAAATCACGTTTATCATTTAGTTAAGAGTAATGAATATTAAGTTTTGTAAATCACAACATATCACTGCACTCAATATAATACATATGGAATTGAAACAAATTAAAGATTTAAAGTTCTGCATAAATAATACATCTCATTAAGACAACAATAATAGCAAATAAACTAATGTTCAGCTCTGCCGTGGATTGTGAAGAGATACCAAGTATCATCAATACTTGAAGATTTTTTCAAATGACTCTAGTTTGTTAGATAATTAACATACATAGTGTATCAAATTAAAAGTGATCAGTTTCTGCTTTCTATTACCTTGGTGATCGCAGTTGGCCACTAAACTGCTTAGGGGTGCTCGTATGCCGCGCAGGACTACCAAACTCTCCTCGCAGTCCATTTGGTGAAACCGAAAACGAAGCAGATTTGCATACAGAAGTATTCCGAACAGGTCCAGCTAAGAGTTCATGAAGCAGCTGTGTAGCCATTTGTCTCCTGGCTGGAGAAATATTGCTCAACACCGTTTCTTTAACCGGCGATGTTGGCACGGAACCATATCGTTTGCTCTCGTTACATCTAGTAACGGCGCTCATTGGCGGCAGACTTTCATACCGAAGTTCTGCTTCATCAGTTGTTGGAATAATAGCATATCTGTGAACTCTTCCATTGTGGACGACATCTGCTACGTTTTCGCCATCTACGGAATCTTCATTTTCCTCGAGTTCTGTTAGTTCATAGCGACTCTTGGTAACACTTTCGTTTCTTTGCACTGTTAGTTTTGGCTTGGAGTCTTTTTGCCTGATGTCCGTTGGCACAATTGCATATCGCGGCTTTGGACCAGGTTTAGGTGGTAAGTCCTCTGTATATCTGCTAGTTTTCGGATTTAGCAGATGGTTATTAGATATATCGGTTTTAGTACGTTGATGAGATTGAGAGGTTCTAGGAATTTCTCTTGGGGGACTCAAGGATTTTTGCGATTTGTAGAACTCACTTTTTTGGCAAAAAGCCGGATTAACGTAATCGTGCCTTGATGACATTTTGTAATGATCACTTATATTTCACACAAAACTCTTAACACATTACTGAGAACGAAATAATAAACTGATAGCAATAATATTTATTTTAAAATCGAGCAGCAATTTCTATGTTCACTCAGAGAAGTTTCATATGTAACTGACCGTTAGACGAAAGATGGTTTGAAAAGTCCCCCTCTAATTTAAAGACCCTTTTCATTGAGAGCGCACCTTTTACAGGGACGTAACGAACGAAATAAGCATATATAAAATATTTTAATCAATGCCTTTATTTTATAAATTGAAAAGCGAATAGTTTTGGCGTATTTAGCAATAAAATACTTTTATAGATAACTTATAAAATATTTAATAGTCAAGTTGGAAACAAATGCAACCGAAGAAATACTTTCTAAATATTCAAATTCAAAATATAACAGATTAAAACTTATAGTGAATGATTTTTTTTATTTATTTAATAATAACCAAAAAAAATCTTGTTTTTATTTCAACTCAGAGATGACCTGAATTATGTAGATAATAAAAATTTATCTGAAGATGGAAAGATTTTGTTTTTCCTTGAAGTCTACGATCATAGATAAAAGAAGAGAATACGATCTAGTTTATGATATCATTATTATAATTTCTGCAATACTGATGAATTTTTATTAAAGACAATTCACTTCAAAACATATTGATATCTTTATATCTAACTGAAAATCCTACACTACTGCTTGACATAAAGCAGACCGAGATCGAGCCTGTAACTTTAGATTGAAACCCCATAGTTTCAACCACTTATCCTCGGGGGATCCCGAAAAACAATAGCTCTCGCATAGTAATAATATAATTTAATAATAACGATAATAACATATTATTGCTATTTATGGTTTCTGAAACATTTAATTAATTTCGACTTATTAAATTATTTCCTGATAAATTATCTGTATGAATTTGATGTAAATAAAGTAACAATTGTTGCATTTCATAATAATCATAATAACTTTTCGAATCTTAATAAATATTATTATATTCCAGAATAAGTTATAGTAATTGCAAAAAATCGAAAATGGAAGTTTTTATATATCTTTATGTTTCAAAGATTTTTGAACATTTTGGCATACCTTAGAAAAAAATGGATGTATGTGTGTTCGGATACACATTTGTGCCGACGATTTCGGGAACACCGATCAACCGATTTGAATAATTCAAAAAACATTCGATTCGTATTGATAAGGAGACGTGCTGATTAGCTTTTGGCGAAGGCAGGTCTAGCCGTTCCGAAGATACGGGGCAAAAAGTGCCAAAAACGGTAACTCAGTTTTTAAGAGAACGGAGTGTCCGATTTGAATAATTCAAAAAACATTTTACTTGTCTTGACAAGATGAAGAACTGATTAAATTTTTGTGAAGGCAGGTCCAGCGGTTATGGGCTCTCAATAAGAATAAGTTAAAAAAATGTCATTTGGCGGTCAAAAATGTTTTTTGGTCATATGTACATCAAATTATCAGAAATTTTATAGAGTTTTTAATAATGTGTACACATTTTGTGTAAATTTGTTTGGGTTCCGTACCAAGATTTTTAATTACGGTACGAGAAGTTCCAGCAATTCGCCTTAAGGCACGATGCTATGCACCACTAGTTCAATTATTATTATTATTATTATTCCAATACCGCCCTGTAAGCTTTAGCACGCGCCGTGTGCTGCTGGCGGGTTGCAGCTGCCGTTTTCCATAATCGTGCGCGCCACTAAGGGAACATACATACATATCTCTATATATTTATATGTGCATTATACTTCGACATCTTAAACATTATTGCGAGCGAAAGGGACACGTTCGGTTTTGTGTATTATATTTATTTATAGAACTAAACAATATTCTTCAATATCCGTTCGTTGTCTGTTCCTTATTTTTTACTCTCCATCTGCTTTTATTTGTTGAAATGATCACTTCATCCGCCAGAAGTAATGAAAAAAATATAGATATGGATAACGGATTTAATAAAATTTTAGAAGATCGTATAATTTTCTAAATGTAAATTAATGTCTTTGTTGTACAAATGCATAGCTCTTTAAACTATCAAGTCGTTATTAGAAATTAGGCAGGATATTTAATTAACTTCCTGTAGGGTAAGTTATTGTAATGGGCCCAAAATCGGAATTGAAAATTTTTACATTTCTCGACGTTTTGAAGGTTTTTGAACATTTTGGCATACCCCAGAAAAAATGGATGTTGTGTGTGTGTGTATGTATGTATGGATACAATTTTTTGTCCACGTTTTCGGGCGTACGGATCAACAGATTTGAATGGTTCCTATTGATTTTATTGATTCCTATTGATAAGGAGATGTGCTGATTAGTTTTTAGCAAAGGCAGGTCTAGCAGTTACGGAGATAAAGAGCAAAGAGTGCAGAAAATAGAAATCGAGTTTTTGAGAGAACGGAGCATCCGATTTGAATGATCTAAAAAACATTCAATTAGTAATGATTGGGAGAAGTGGTTATTTGTTTTTCGCAAAGGCAGGTCCAGCCATTTCGAAGATACGGAGCTAAATGTACAAAAAATGGCAGTTTTTGAGAGAACTAAGCGTCCGATTTAATTGATTCAAAGAACTTTCTGCTTGGCTTAACAAAATAATTGATTTTGAAAAAAAAAATTTTTGTTTCAACTTTTTTTTATTTTATTTTTTTTTAATTTTTTGTATATCGAAAATAATTTAGATTTTATTTTAAATTCTGACTATAGTTCTAATATACTTTACAAATAATTTCAACTTTGTAATTCAGTTTATATAATTCTTATAAATATTAGACAATGTTACAATATTTATAATAATCTATTTGAAAACATTCAGTATTCCTCGAACATTTCGTTGCGGTACGGGAAGTTCCAGCAATTTGCCTTAAGGCACGATGCCACCCACCCCACTAGTTAAATTTAATATTGGTTTAAGGCAAGTTTCGTGAACTTTCCAAAATGTGTAAATAATCGGCGTACATACATACACACTCATATACTTTTTCCCATTTTGGTCTCAAACGATTCTGAATGACTTCGAACATCGAGTAAACGTGAAATTAGGAAATCGGAATTTCTGTCAAAAGCAACAATTTTTCATTCTAGATGTTTGTAATGTCAATCTTTGTTCTTCATCTGATTTCCAACAAAATGATTATTGATACAGGTAAACGTCTCATCCGCCGGAACTCATGAAAAAATTAAGTAACGGAAATACGTTTTGCGTTTAATTCACATATAAATATATTCTTTGTAAATATCCCTGGAAAAAAAGTTATATGTAAACATAATATGAATTCATGGATTTTTGCAATCAAAATATGAGAACTTTTAACAATTTTTCAAGTACATGGATAATGATACTAAAATATTTAGTTTGATTTTTTTCAGTCTTAATCTTGTTTCTTTATAATTTATAAAAATTAATTAAAATTTGGAATAATGGATCAAAATTTCATCCTTTCATCCTAAGGGATAATTTTTTTCGTCAATTTTAAAAGTTGTCTCATGAGCAATTCTAACCCCAAGCACGGGGTAGGTTGCAACACTGTACACTAGATAATAATTAATTGTGAAATAATGAACAACAGGTGTGGAATTATTTTTACTTGATTTGGTAGAAGAATAGTTACGGAAACTATCCATCTTTATTACTTAAATATATATGGCTTCAGGCAAATCGCTGGAACTTTCCTTACCGTAACGAAATGTTCGAGGAATATTAAATGTTTTCTAATAGATTATTATAAATAATACTGTAACATTATCTAATATTTATAAGAATTTCATAAACTGAATTACAAAGTAAAAATTATTTATTTAAAATATATAAGTGTATTATTTTTGATATACAAAAAACAATTGTTTTCTCAACACAACACAGAAACTTTTTGGAATCATTCAAATTGGATGCTTATTCTCTCAAAAACTGCAATTTTTTGTACATTGAGCTCTGTAAATTCGAAATGGCTGGACCTGCCTTTGTCAAAATCCAATCACCACTTCTCCCCATCATTAGAAATAGAGTAGAATGTTTTTTGGATCATTCAAATCGGTTGATCCGTTCTCTTCAAAACAGACACTTTAACACTTTTTCCTCCTCTCCGAAGCCGCTGGACCTGTTTTTGTCAAAAAGTAATCAGCACGTCTCCTCATCAATAGGGTTTGAATGTTTTTTTTAACTTTTTTGAAATCGTCGAAGAAAAATTGTCTCCACACATACACACACACACATACATACCCGTTCTGTGGAAAGCAAAGGGCAAAGTGACTTCGCACAATTAAAAGCTTAGTATAAAATCAAGTTAAGAATGATAATATTCTAGATCCTCCTCCCACGAAGTAATGCCTAACGGAGGTTTCTGTGGGGACCAGAGGCAAGGACAAAGCGGAGGTTTTAGTCGGTATTATACCAGGGCGGTATTGAGTCCGACCCAGACAAAAGACCAGTCTGGGATGCATAAAGGCATTTCCTTCGATATACAAAAAAAATATATTTATCGATGCATACATACACATACACACATCAATTTTTTCTGAGGTATACCAAATTGTTCAGAAACGTCTGAAACGTGAAGCTATGCAAAAAAATGTATTTTCGATTTTTGGCCTATTACTATAACTTACCCTACGGAAAATATTTAATAGAATATATTATAGCATATTAATAATTATTATACTTTAAAATTAAGATTTAAACTAAAATCTAAGTTAAACTAAAAAAGTTGGTTAACAGTTGCCAACATGGTAAAGTTAAAACTAGTTATTGCGTAAGTGGTGCCTAATCTAACCTATAAATCTATGGCTTATGGCATGACAGATGGTGACAGATCGCAGTCATCTACACACGTACAGTCTGTCCCCCTATATAAAACAAAATAATTATTGAATTTTAGTGTATATTTTTTTATATAAATTTAATAAATCTTTTATGATGGCAATGTCTTTACTTTTGAGATCTGCTAATAGTAGAATTGCATCACAAGGTACCAAATTAGATTATAAAATATTGATATGTGACATATTATGTTATGTAAATTTAACTGTCAAATAATTTTATATAATAAATTATTGCAGCCTGCGCTTTAAGGGGCATAAAACTTGGACCTGTCATATCTGCAACACGTTCTGTACTGTTGAAGGAAGCACAATGTGTAAGTATAAGAAAAGCCCTTTTTCATATCAAATAATAATAACAATCGTATGAGCATAATATCTGCAAAGTCAGATACTTCTCTTGGAGAGCCTGATGATATCGGTTTTCACTTGGAAATACAGATAGTAATATGTTTCCAAGTGATGCATCTTATCGGGCATTGGCATCATAAAAAGATTATCAGGTTTACAGAAATTGTAATAAGCCCTGAATAAGCGACCCAGTTAAATAATTCACTACAACAGCTCATAGGGCCTTTAACTAAATCATTAAAAGTTGTGATTTGGAACAGAATTTGCCACTTTTTAGTATAATAACAATTTTATTGTTTAGTATAAACTTTATCTTATAACTGGTTTCATATAGTGTTTTGTTTAATGTATGCACAATATAATAATTGTTTGTTGCTCCATTCCAACAATTTGATAATATTTTATTATTATTCATAATTTAATTATAATGTGGAATTTTAGCTACAAAAACCTATTGCACGCAACATTTTCCTCACTCGCCCGGTGAAAGCTGCAGCTTGCGCTGATCATACACCGATATGGAAAGCTGAACGAATTTTATCTGGGGCTCTGCTTGCAGTAATACCTTTGGCATTAATGTTTCCAAACCCCTGGTTAGATTCATTGATGGCAGTTGCTTTAGTTGCACACAGTCATTGGTAAGAATTAATAGAGATAGGTATTAATTTATTGATCATTTCACAATTATCTTTTAACTTACATATCAACTAGAATTGTATTACAATTTTTTAAACTTTAATGGTGCTCAATAGGGGACTTGAAGCTTGTGTTACCGACTATGTGAGGCCAATTCTTTTTGGAAACACAATTCCTAAAGTTGCACATATTGCTTTAATTGCTTTGTCAGTATTGACACTAGCTGGTCTTTTGTGCTTCAACATGAACGACATTGGAATTTCGAGAGCAATCAGACGTTTTTGGTCTATCCAACCACCACAACCACCAAAGCCTTTTGATCCATGCGGCAGAGACAAGAGATCGATTACTTTTTAAGTTAAAGAAATGATGGTAGATATTAAACATAAATCAAAGCAAGATGCCCATAAAAATAAAGTAACAAATGTAAAGTATTGTAAATATTTATTTATAACAAAATTATCACAAGATTGAATCTTATTAACAAAATACATTTCAGCTGATATTATATATTTATTTTATTAACATATATTTTTAGGTTTTAAGATTTTATGATTTGCAATTTTTGTACACAGGACGCAAAGCCTTCATTTGTTTTCATAAAGCATGTATAAAAGAAATTAAATGTATTTAATATTTAATTTTCTTGTACTGCAGCCAAAAGTAAACAGTATATAGCAACCATATAATATAATTTAACTAAACTTGTGTTTCAATTTTGTTTGATTCTTTTTTTGGAAAAAAATTATTGTCTAAAAAAACTTTTCCTAATGATCCAGTTCTAAAAGCTTTTATCATATGGATTGCAGCCGCTTCCAGATGAGGTATTTTCATCAAATAATTATCATATCGCTTTTTAACAATAGTTTTTTCTAAAAAATTTGCTCCAGTTAACAGGACTTTGGCGATATCATCACTAGGTTCTTGTAAACCAAGTAAATCCACATATGAATAATTTTCATTTTGATTCATCCAGAATAGGAAATAATCTGCAATATTTATTGGCCCTACTTGATGATCTTGCAAGCAAGAACATAATGCCAATTTCATTCCTGTTTCAGTATCTTTAATATTAGGCATAAGAATTCCAGGTGTATCTAATAAATAAATCGGAGGATCTTCAGCTATTTTAATTCTATTAAGAACACTTCTTGTTATTCCAGCAACTGCTCCAACGTGTGATGCACCTTTTTTTTTCAAGTGACGATTCCTTAAAACATTAATAATTGATGATTTGCCTACATTAGGAACTCCTATAACCATTATACAAAATTCTTTATTATCGGCCCGATTGAATCTATCTGAGTTAGTAATTAATTCTTTAGCAAGAGGCATGATTCGTTTTATTCCAGAACATGTCTGATCTTTGCAATTTGTATATAAAACATGTTTGATTTGCTCTTCTTCTCTGAGTCTTTTTATTACCTGTGAATTGTAGGAATTGTCTGTTAAGTCTTTCTTATTTAATATTAAAATGTGAGGTTTGATTGCGCTGATTGTGTGTTTAAAATTTGGATTTCTACCGGATAACGGTATTCGGGAGTCGTGCACTTCAATGACTAGATCTACCAATTTTAATTTTTGTTGCATTTGTTTCAAACCCAAGCCCATATGACCGGGAAACCAATTTATAATATCTTTATTTACAATTCGAAATGCTGTACGGAAGGAACTCTTATTAATTTTGTGAGTCATTGTTGTTTTATTTATATTGAGTCTTTAAAATCAATGTAAAGTGAATTTATAATTTTATTTATTATTCCTTGGGACGCATTTGAATGCATTTTTTAGGTTATTTAATTACTTATAGTATAGGTTATGGTCAAAACCTGTCATCTGTCAACAGCGCAAAATCGTTAGAGTTTCTAAACACCGGATAACAAAGTGCTGAGAAAGCTGGCTGAAGTTAGCTGTAACACATTACAGATTTGTCAAATCTTTTGCACTGTGCTTTCAACTTTTTTATGTTGGATTCGCTGTTACGATTACTCCATACTCCATACTCTTCTTTTATCTATGACTCCATTACTATAATTTTTTTTTCGGCGTGCTAATTGTGTAACTCGGGCGTCTCGTATTTTATATTTTTTATTCGCGTTTTCTTTCATTACGTTTTTTTGCTACGTGTACTAATCATTTTGTGATTTTGTTGATTGTGCGCTATTTTATTTCTTTACATTTTATATTTGCTATTTTATTGCGGGATTCAAGAGCTTCTATAGGGAATAAGGTTAGTTTCTTTTCAGCAAGAGACGCGAGTTTTTTCATCTCATTAGCTTTTAGTTTCATTTTATTTTCAGCCCCTATCACTTTTATTAATTTACTTTATTCACTTAGATTCTTAACTTTAGTTTAATCACTTAGATTATTACATTAAGTTTACTTTAATCGCTTACATTCTTAACTTTACTTAAATCGCTTACATTCTTAACTATACTATTATCGTAGATTCTTAACTTTACATTAATCACTTACATTCTTTACTTTACTTTAATCACTTTAGGTTAGCACTTAGATTATTTACTTTAGGCTATCACTTAGGTTATTCACTTTACTTTATCATTTTAGGGTATATCACTTTAGTTATAAGCTTCCTTTTATTCATTTTTTACTGATTACCACTTAGGTTAGGTTATTCTTTTCATTTCATTCATTGTTTAGGGTATATAGCTTTGCATATTTACTATTTTAAGGTATAGCTTATTTACTATTTTAAGGTATAGCTTATTTACTATTTTAAGGTTTAACACTTACGTTTTATTACTCTATTATGTTTATATAATCTACATTTTTATTTTATTTCTTATGGATATTACGACTACTAAAACCTGTTTGTATTGTTCTACAGTATGTAAAACAAACAGTTCTTTATATCGCCATATTAGGGCCAAGCATGGGAAAGAACCCATGCATTTTGATCGAACATTTCAGTGCATTTATTGCAGTAAGGCTTTGCATTCGACATATGCTTTGAAAAGACATATTACATGCTTTGCATTCGACATATGCTTTGAAAAGACATATTACACACTTTCATCCTACCATTCCTCTTCAACCATCTGCTCCCAATTCTGTTCTAGCCACTGACACTCACTCATCAAATTCTTCCTCACATATTCAAACAGTTCATTCCGATCATATCACCTACAACACCTACTTCAATAATTTCCGCATCAACCCTAGAACATCAGTCGCCCTTCATTCCTATGCTGCCTCAATTTCACCTACACCATCAACTTCTACCACCATCATCAACTCCATTGCCACACAATCCACTTCTTGCACCAGTGTTCAACAGCAGATAAACTATATTTCAGGTATGTGTACCAAACATGTTATTAAACAATGATGCAGCAAACAGTAATAATGTTATGTTTTAATAGGTACTCAAAGGAAATCTAGGATCTTGTGCCCCCTTGACAATTGTCAAAGGTTATTATCCAGATACAATGGCTTACATCAACATATCGAAGTTGATCACACCATCCACATCCAGCATGAAGAAATCACATTTTCTTCTTTTAATGGTTTGTTCATTTTCGATTATAGACTTTGTCAATGCACTTTTCTATTATTTGGTATTTTTATATAGATTTTCAATCATCGAAAAATATCTGTGATAAGATAAGTAACAGAAAAAATAATATATACATTAATCATAAACAGAATTAATCCAAAAGCAATGGATTGAAAATATCATCGTATGTTTTAATTGTTATTGGTGAGTTGGATTTAACCTGTAATGTTATATAATTTATGTTGCTTTACTTTTTAATCAACTTGAGTGGTGTGTTTGTGTAATAACTCACTATTGTTGAAATGAGCATTTTGTGTATCTAATGATGCAACAAAGTTCTTCTCTCACAATTTATGGTATTTGGTTTCATTTGTTTATATTATCATTTCAATTCTATCTTTCAAATTTCTAATGTGAATAACATTTATTAACAGCTATATTGCGGAGATAAGTTTTAAATTATAATCATACATATTTCTTTTCATATTATGGTAATAGGTTTTGAATTGTCAATATGATTTATTTATTGTTACTTTACGGTAATAGTTTTTAAATTGTAAATATGATATTAATTGTTACATTACGGTGATACGTTTTGAATTGTCGATATATTTTTTATTTATTATTACATTATGGTAATAGGTTTTAAATTGTAAATATGATTTATTTATTATTACACTTTTTAGTGATAGGTTTTAAATTGTGAATATTTGATTTATTTATTATAACATTACTAATAATAAGTTTTGAATCATGAAGAATTGTGTTTGACTGGTATGTGGTTGTGTGTTATACTGGTATGTGGTACAATTTGTTTTCTAATTTTCCTTCACGCCATGCTTTACTCATTAATATTAACATTGTGTAAATAGATTTTAACTCGTAAGCTATTTCTTGTAAATAACTATATATTTAATTCACATTCAATAAAAAATATTACCACAATTATGCTTTATCTTTTTTTTAAAAAAATAGCTTTGTTTCTGTAGCAAAATTATGTGATCTAAAAGTTTTCAGTTATTCAATGTTGCATTCTACAGTTTAAACTACTGTTAAAAACTGGAACAGTCCTGGATTTGAATAATGCACTTATTCTGATAATAAAGATTGTGTTCTGAAATTCAGTCATTTGTAGTCAACAATATTTAAAGTTTTCAACAATTATATTGCACACTAGTATGGAACAGATATAAGAAATGGTAAAAAAATTTAATTTTGATATTCTATCATACAAGTAGTCTTGCTATAATAAATACGAAAGATTGTAAATGTAGCAGTATTTGGCTTACATAATTATACATTTTTGTGTTCAAGCAAATTTATGCACACAAAATAGTTCACGTTTACCAGTGTTCTTCAATTGAAATCTACCATACATAACAAAAATCCAATATTGCAACAAATATCTGACTGAATGAAAATTAATTACTAAACACCAAAATAAGAAATTGAGGTTAAGTTTCGACAGTTGCGACAAATGTTTTGACATATATGAATGCTCTGCAGTTGGTATGCCTGCTCAGAAGAATTTCTGATTTTTTGAATGTTGGTACCGTGATTTTTTCGTTTCAGCACTTTGTTAATCCGGTGTTTAGAGCCGTGTAAAATCGTCGTTCACAAACCATGTTTCGTGTTATCGACATCTAGGTGAGAATTTGGCGCTAGTGCGTCGATACCAAGTGACAGGTTGTTAATTCTCTAGCATTAAGCCGCCATTTTGATCAGGGTTGTTATTGTGTTTTGCCACTGGTGTGGTAACGAGTGTTGTGTATAAAAGTTTATAAAGTTTTAATTGTTGTTTAAACAAAGAGTATGACATAGATAAACAAGTGCAGAAGAAGTGCAGAACAAGTGCAGAAGAAGTATAATAGAAAGTGTATAATGTATGTAAGAATACATAATGTAGTGTACTGTGTATTACTCCTGTCAATTGTGTGCTCGAAGGCGCGATTGATTCAAAGAAAACATTATTATTGTCTAATAATAATAGTAATAACTTTTGTTATTACTTAATATATTTTTATTATAATTCAAAGTTCAAATTCTAATAAACTATTTTTAGGACTATATTTTTTCATATTAATAATACATTATTTTTAAAGTACAAATATTTGTATTTCAAATTTTGGCGCTTTAATTTGAATGCCGAGTGATATGCTATTGAAGCGCCATAGCAATGTAGCGCCCGTAGCAATAATTAATTCTTTGAACCAAAATACCGCGAGAATGAAACGTCTATGTCTAGGCTGTCAAAGTTGTACAGTTAATTTTAACGAACGCATCGTATTTTTATTTTATAGTTTAAAGAATAATATTATTAAGATTTATCTAATTTGGAACTGATAGTATCAAGCCAATTGTAATATTATTAAAACATCTGGGCTCAAGTGAGTAAATCATTCTAGGCTATGAAAGTAATGTACAATTTTAAGGTACCGCTTATGCTTAAGAATTAGTTTATTATTTCGTTTATTTATAAATTATTTAGTATTTAATCAAAGTGGTATTTACCGAATATGGAATCATGTATTAATAAAAAATTGGAAGTAAATATATCCCATGCATTTAATCTTTAAAATTGTGACCGTAAAGGTTAGTTTCTAGGAGTTTCCTAGAATATAGACTTGTTAAAAGGTTATTTTAAAACTTTTGGGATATATCAACTTTGAAGAGACTACTAGAGATAAATTGTATTAGAAGTGTAACAGTTATACATCTTTTTTTATTTTTTAATTTGAATTACAAACTGTCTTATTAGTTAGTGAGACACTCACAGACAAGAATAGACAGAATAACTCATTAAAATATCCAAAGAAAATATTGTCAATGCGGTTTGAAAGTTAGGTGCTTGTAAATTATGTGCGTTAATTAGATCTGGATTGTGCAGACATTGGATTAAGTAAGGTAGGTCAGAAGGCCATTTCTTGCTTGGTCTTCTTAACGGTCTGTGAATCGTTTGAATAGTAGGATTTGTATGCTGGATGAATTTATTGTTGAAAGATAAACTTGTAATTTTGATCATTTCCTTGACTGTAGAGATTTTTAAATCCTTATGTAGGCAAAAGTTTGAAATATACCATAGCTCATTAGTTAAGATACTTAGAATTTTGTTCTGGCATGTTTGAATAATGTTTGTGTTTGATTTACAAGGGCGACCCCATAGTTTGATTCCATAAGTCCAAATGGGCACTATTATACCTTTGCACAGAAGTACTTTGTACTAGAGAAGTTTCGGATTTCCTCCCAATAAGCCAGTAAATTTTTTTATTTTCAGTTGGAATGCAACATATTAAAGCAATAATAATACTTAT